GTTATGTGTTTTTCCAAATTTCCAACATTCCCTGTACTATCCTGAAGAGAAGGGAAAGAAAACGTTTGATAGAAAAGAAGTGTCTACTGAATTGTGTGGATTTGCGTCGTTGCATGCGAATACTTATTACGAAACTGTTTTCCCACCGCCTCCAAACTACTGTTTGAATTATTTATCGTGGAGGCACGCTTTTGTACTGAGCCGCCGTGGCTTGGTATATCGATGCATATTTTCTAACGGAATCGCATCTCCATAATATTTTTCCATTGGCTTTGTTCGTTCCAGTCTTCGTTTAATCGCTCTCTCTCTCATTGCATCTCGGACTCATTGTTCATTGTTTCCTAGATTTCGCTTGCACATTTCACCAGACCCGCTGGTCTCCCAATATACATGCGGCCGTGTCCGCGCCTTTACATGACATTCTACAACAGACTTGCGGCCGTTGCCGAATCCTTAGCAGACGCTCTGCACCAGACTTACGGGCGGTGCCGAATCCTTAGCAGACGCTCTGCAACAAACCTTCGGCCGTTGCCGAATCCTTACCAGACGCTCTTCAACAAACCTTCGGCCGTTGCCGAAATCTTAGCAGACGCTCTGCAACAAACCTTCGGCCGTTGCCGAATTCTTAGCAGACGCTCTGCAACAAACCTTCGACCGTTGCCGAATCCTTACCTGACGCTCTGCAACAAACTTTCGGCCAACAAACTTTTGGCCGTTGCCGTGTCCTTAGCAGACACTCTGCAGCGTTACTTGGGGCTCTTGCCGAATCCTTAGCAGACACTCTACAAAACACATGCATGCCACAGTGCCACATCTCTTGCTGAAGCTCTATTAGTATCACACATGCAGTCACAACGGCTGTTGGTATACCGCCCCCTGTAACCATAAGCAGAGGGTCCACACCTATGGCTCTGGGGTCTCCTCCGTGGGCTTCACGGAGTGAGATTCGTGGGGTTGACCTTGTCCCCCATATATGCATACCACCACCAATACCGCTCTGCTGTGTTTTCTGTCGTCACGGCATTGTTTCAACTACTTTAAGCTACGTCTCCCCAGTGACTATATTGCTTTTCTTAACGAAGTCATTTCACTTAGGGGACGACTAAACACTGCGATTTTCCATGTAAGACTACTCCGTGAGTGTCTCCATTATTCGGTGGCACCGAAGTACCTTCAGAAACGGGTCCAGAAATTGAAGCTATATGACTCTATATCAATTGAAAAGGTCCTCCTCGGAGATGACCTAAACAAGGCTAAGGGTCACCTGCAGAATGTACGATCAAAGTTTGTTTCCTCGTATCAAAATATTCGCCGACTTCTCAATATCTTTGACTTTATCAGATTTTCTTGGCTACTCTCCCAATGTGATCGCAAGCAACGATCCAAACATGACACGAAGCGAACTAACCTAGTTTCAGCGTTGAGAAGAGATAGGTTTGGAGCCTGCAGCGACAACTACGACACAATCATTAATCTTGCCGGTATCACGCTCAGTCAACTACAGAAAGATGTTCTATGTGGTGGAATGGATTTCGGTATCCCTCCCAAATTCAACCAGACTGATATTTTGGCTGAATTTGAACTTCTTCAACAACAGCTGACCGCTGTTCCCGCGAAATCGGACGTGGCGGCGGCAACCTGCCGAGCTTCCTTGGCTGCCGAGGCGTTCCGATTTGCCCAGTCTCCGCCAGATACACGATCCTTTTCACTGACGCGGGAACATATAAAAGTTCTCAAGGAACTTAGGAAGAACCCTGAAATCGTGATATCTCGCCCTGACAAGGGCCGAGCAACGGTGATCATGTCGGCAGTGGAGTATAGAGCGAAGATGATGGTCATACTCAATGACACCACTAAGTTCTGTAGACTCGGCCCGTGCGATGGTTATGATCACACTGCAAACATAGATACGAAATTAAGTAAATACCTACTTTTTCTATCTAAATCTCATCAGATTACTCAATATGAACATGACCGGCTAGCACCAACGGGTTCCACTCGGCCACGGATGTATGGCCTGCCGAAAATTCACAAAAAGAATATCCCGTTACGACCGATACTAAGCATGTCCGGTTCGCCACAATATAAGATATCCAAGTGGTTGTGCGCAATGCTACAGACTGTGCTCACCCTTTACAATAGGCATTGCGTCAAGGACACATTCGAGTTCGTGGATAAGATCAGGAAATCGAAGTTTGAGTCGTGTGGTTACATGTGCTCGTACGATGTCGTCAGTTTGTTCACCAATGTTCCATTGCGTGAAACCATCGATATTTGTGCAGCAGCGTTGTACCATAACAAGTCTGTGACTCCACCTGATTTGAATGAGAGCGAATTTGTCAAACTCATGTTAATGGTCACTTCTGGTGTTGAGTTTTCCTTTGACAATGTCATGTATAAACAGTTGGATGGAGTTGCGATGGGATCTCCACTTGGTCCGGTATTAGCAAACATATTCGTTGGATTTTGCGAGTCATCCATTCCCCCATCGCTATGGCCTTCGGTGTACTACCGTTTTGTAGATGATGTTTTTTGTCACGACGAGGACCAAGAAACCTGCGAGAACTTTTTAACAACCCTGAACGGACTACATCCTGCATTAAAATTCACTGCAGAAGGTGAACGGGATGGTGTGATATCCTTCTTAGATGTCAATATTACCCGCAACAACGACACCAAGAGTTTAGACATGACGGTTTACAGAAAACCCACCTTTACTGGCTTGTATATTCCATGGGGAAGCTACACACCAACTAAATCCAAAGTTCACCTTGTCAAAGCACTAGTCTATCGTGCCCATCGAATCTGCTCTCCTCACCTTCTTCAAGGAGAACTTAGGCGGCTCACATCAATTTTGACAAACAATGGATACCCCTCGTCACTACTAACAAAACTTATTAATAACAAACAAATCACGCAGGATCCGAAACCATTTGGACCGGACAGGTGCCCCGTGGTACTCCGCTTACCCTGGGTGGGTGCTGGTTCTGCGCGCGTCGAGAAGGAGGTGCGCAACATTGTCTGTTCGTCTTACCCGTGCGTGAAATTGTATTTAGTATTTGGAACGACGCGTGCGTTCAGTGTGAAGAAGGACGTTCTACCTACCCTTAGTAGAAGCAACCTTATCTATTTTTTTCAGTGCCGAGAATGTGAAGATCGGTACGTAGGTAGAACCCTTCAACACCTGGGCGCACGCATCCGTCAACATGTGCCGTTAGGTCTTGTCCCTGTTGACGCTCGTGGTACTCGTCCTCGTCGTGGCCGTCCTCCAAAATGTGCTGTGCAGTCCGATACTGGAACGCCTTTGTCTGCGTCCAGTGTAGATGTACGCATGCGCGCCTCCGCCTCGACGGGCGGGGAGCTTGGCCCATCTCAGACTAGCGTGAGGAAGCGAGGAAGACCATCCCGAAAACCGCCCAATGTGACACCGGAGCTCACGGACACCGGAAGAGTTACCAGAAGCAAGGTGAAGAGACGAAGTACTGGAGATTTGAATACGTCGGTACTGGAAGTGACAACAACGATCAACAAGAGGAAACGAGGAAGACCGAGGAGTCAAACGAAAACGACCATGAATTCAAAGGACGTTGGAGGTGTCAACAAGCCCAACGGAAGAGAACAACGGCAAACGTCGAAGGTGACAGAGCTAAATGATCGGACATCGTCCATCAAGCGTCATTTGTCGGGAAGTGCTAATTGTCGTGAGTTGTATAGTGATGATGTCTTTTCGGTTTTAACTCGTGGAAGGTCTAAGTTACATCTTGCTGTGTTAGAAGCTCTGTATATTCGTAAACTAGATCCAGAACTATGTGTACAGAAGGAGAATGTGTTATCGTTGCAGTTGTTTGGTGTCACACCTCGTGAAAGTGTGACAAGTGCTTCTTGATGTGTTCAACGTGTTTGTCTACAACTTGCTGCTTTTGTTTTCGAGTTTTTTTTTTTTTTTTTTTCACACTTTAGTCATTTTATCGCCTATGTTGAAGTGTTGACTTTTTCTCTATTTTTCTATATAGTTATGTGTTTTTCCAAATTTCCAACATTCCCTGTACTATCCTGAAGAGAAGGGAAAGAAAACGTTTGATAGAAAAGAAGTGTCTACTGAATTGTGTGGATTTGCGTCGTTGCATGCGAATACTTATTACGAAACTGTTTTCCCACCGCCTCCAAACTACTGTTTGAATAATAATAATAATAATAATAATAATAATAATAATAATAATAATAATAATAATAATAATAATAATAATAATAATAATAATAATAATAATAATAATAATAATAATAATAATAATAATAATAATAATAATAATAATAATAATAATAATAATAATAATAATAATAATAATAATAATAATAATAATAATAATATTGACTGGTTTGAGGGAAAGAGACAAACGGGAAAAGTCTGAAGAAAAAATTGACTGTCACCACCAGGACTCGAACCAGGGACCCTCGCTTGTAGCCAGCGATGCTCTAACTACTGAGCTATGGTGTAGTCGTCATAATAATAATAATAATAATAATAATAATTGTTTGCAGGCAACCTGCCTACACTCAAGAGAGCACTGCATTTCACACAAATCCATTGGTATCGTTACAACGTTTCGGTCTTTATGACCATCATCAGGAATGAAGTGGACATGGAAAGAACAGCAGTATAAAAGAAGGAGGCAAGCAAGCAAAGCGCGGTACATAGTGACAGCGCGCGTAGAGAAGTGCAAAGCGCGTCATGGCGGGTGTGCATTACTACATATACATGACAACACAAGCACAAACGGTGAGGAAAGTAGATACTGCGCTACAGCAGTGATAACAGCCCAGTTCCAGTCTCACACCACCAGTGAGGTGTCTAGAGCCCCGCGCCACTCGCAGTAAGGTGGTGTTATAGCAGATCCCGAGAGAAAGTTGAGCTTACTATCGACCAGTGGGAGGAGGAGACCCGAAAGATACTCCGCCGAGTTTGCGAGGGATCCTTGGAAAAGGATTTATACACAGCCGTGATGCCGGGTGACAACAGCTTCCCTGAAATGTACGGTCTTCCAAAAGACCACAAGTCCAATATTCCTCTCAGACCAGTCGTTGCGGCCTGCGGCAGCCCAGTTACAAACATCTCCATAGTCCTCGAACGCATCCTCAATCAATGTCTCCAGTTCGTGCCAGCACACCTGGAGAACACTGTTGAAGCACTCCAGTGTATGAGGAGCGCGTTTCCCAACCTCAAGGCCCCGCCCGGCACCATCATTGTGACTATGGATGTGGTGGCCCTTTACCCTAGCATCCCGATTAACGATGGCATTGCAGCAGTCATGAGAGTCCTCCGACAACACGAGGGCAGCATCGATCTGTTCGGTTTTCGAATTGGGCAGGTCAAGGAGCTCCTCGCACATGTGCTGAGCTCCAACTACTTCCGGTTTGGAGCGCAGGTGTACCACCAGAAGGATGGTGTGGCTATGGGCAATAACCTAGCGCCCCCCTTTGCCATCCTGTACATGCATGACCTAGAGAGTTCGCTCTTGCGTAGTGCACCTGCCAGCCCAGTTCTGTACAAGCGCTACATCGATGATGTTTTCATTGTGTGGAACCTCGGTCCGGAACTTCTGCAGAGTTTCCTAGATCACTTCAATAATGCCGATCCTAATATTAAATTCACTCACCAATCCACGGAGTTGACTGGCTCAATCAATTTCATGGACACGACCGTCCATGTCTCACCAGATGGATCTATATCCTATGAACTATACCGCAAGCCATGTCACAGCGGACTGGTATCAGACTACAACTCGTCAGTTCCCAACCAGCAAAAGAAAGCAATTGCTTCCTCTGAGTTCCTGCGTGCCGTCCGCCTATCCTCCGATGCCGACACCCTAAAAAGAAGTGAAGAAAAAGTAACCAACATCCTAAAATTCAACAACTTCCCAGAGTCAGTTATAGTTTCGGCACGTGAACGAGCTATGCGCCCCCGACGTGTCAGAGTGCAGAATGAATACCGTGTCACCCTCAACCTACCGTTTCACACCGAGTATATCCACAACAAAATTCATAAATTACTCCGGAAGTACAAGATAAATGCCCAGCTGATTTACAGGAACCGCCGACTAAGTTCTATGATTTGCACGTCTGCCCTCCGCAAACCACCATGCCGCAGGTATGTAGACCCGTCCAGGCCCCGTAAACGGGGGCGGCCCAAAGCTGCTTGTGTCGCCTGCATGTCCGGTTCAGGGGCATGCACGGAGCGAAATGTTGTATACCACCTCGAGTGCAGGTGTGGTGATAAATATGTCGGAGAGACGTACCGCAGCCTCGCTACCAGGACAAAAGAACACAACGACGACGCACGCAACACAGTGAGCGGCACCGCGCTGGCATTCGCGGCCAAGCATGCATCTGACCCATTGCCATTGGGAGCAACGGCTTTCTCAGGTATCCGGGTTCTCGGTTCTGAGCGTGACCGCCCCAGGAGGAGGATCCGGGAGGCCATCAATATCAGGGAGCGATCCCCGGAAATTAACAATAACAGTGGCTGGGATCTGCTATAACACCACCTTACTGCGAGTGGCGCGGGGCTCTAGACACCTCACTGGTGGTGTGAGACTGGAACTGGGCTGTTATCACTGCTGTAGCGCAGTATCTACTTTCCTCACCGTTTGTGCTTGTGTTGTCATGTATATGTAGTAATGCACCACCCGCCATGACGCGCTTTGCACTTCTCTACGCGCGCTGTCACTATGTACCGCGCTTTGCTTGCTTGCCTCCTTCTTTTATACTGCTGTTCTTTCCATGTCCACTTCATTCCTGATGATGGTCATAAAGACCGAAACGTTGTAACGATACCAATGGATTTGTGTGAAATGCAGTGCTCTCTTGAGTGTAGGCAGGTTGCCTGCAAACAATTCAAGTATAATGAAGCTGCGTGAAGCGTCCTTCAAAATTTTGAATAATAATAATAATAATAATAATAATAACAGCTGCCAGCAGCTGGACCAGCTTTTACCCAATAAGCATACCATTAAACAAGCGTGCGCTGAGCGAAAATCCAAACACTTTCCACTATGCCGCTGCATGGGAGATATTGGAGCCGATTGGAGGAGAATCGCCTAGATAAGGAGCTTACCTTCATGTGGTTGAAATCAAGGACACTGAAACCTTCAACTGAAGGCATGATTATGGCAGCACAAGACCAATCCCTCAAAACGAAAAATTACCAATACGCCATAATGAAGTCAATTCCTCGAACTGATGCCAATTGCAGGCTTTGCAAGGGCAGCTTAGAAACAATTGACCACATTGTCTGTGCCTGCCCAGTTCTGGCTCGGACCAGTTACATTGAACGACATAACCGGATAGTAAAGTATGTGCACTTCGAAATGTGTAAAGCACGAGATCTACCTACTGGTGCTTCACGATTCGACCACCAGCTCAAGGCATTGGTCAAGAGTAATCAGTATCGCCTCTATTGGGAGTATTCGGTCCCAACTGACCTGAAACTATCAGCAAACAGGCCCGATCTGCTCCTTGTTGATGACAAGGAGCGCATCGCCTACATTATAGACATCAGCGTTCCTGGTGAGAACAACATCAATAAGAAAATGGCTGAAAAGCGCTCGAAATATTATGATTTGAAGCGGGAGATTTCGAGGATTTGGTCCCTCAACCAGGTTGACGTGGTCCCTGTGGTTGTCGGTGCCCTGGGAGGCTTGGTGGGGGAGACTCCTCAATGCCTTCGGACTGTGCAGGGAGGAGACCTGGCTATTGTGCAACAGGAGGCTATACAAGGTTCGATTAAAATACTGAGAACTATCCTTAACATGTAGATGCACATCTGCTGCGTTTGCATGTTCAATAGCTAAGAGACTTGAATAACGACTGATAAAGACTGATATTTCCTTTGTTACTACTCCCTTCATTGGTTGATGTATTTTGCCTGTCGCTGCAAAATTCTTTATTATTATTTTGATGTTGGAGTTCGGATTGAGTTTCTTTCCTTTCTTCCTCTTCCTTCAACTAGTTCTTGTCCCTTTGGTTTTTAGGTTTTATTTATTTATTTATTTTTGTTTTTGTTTTTTCACTTTCTTTTTGCTGTCCCACCCATGGAAATATTTCCCGGTGGGTCTGGCTTATTCGCCTTCGAAAGAAGTGAATAAAGGAGAAATAATAATAATAATAATAATAATGATTGAACAGGCGACGAGGTGACAAATGTTTTAGGATGGCAATAAACAGAATCAGCTGAAGCGTCATGTTACGAAGTTTGTATTGGAGATGTCACGAACAAATTCTAGACAACGTGGTGATGGACAAAGGGATAACTGTGATGGAAATGTAATGTAAAGAACAATAATAGGAACGATGAAAAATATGAAAATGCATCGAACTTGCTTTCGCACAACGCTCATCATAAAGCATCGTTGTACTAATTAAAGGGGAAGTTAAGCCTAAAATCAAATGTTCACCAGTTGTAGTCTTCGGGTGCTGGAGGCGAA